TAATGTGTGGAACACTGCATCTGCATATTGCTAATACATCTATACTGCCTTCTGCTATTTTGAACCACATTTTCAGGTCGTTTCTTTAAGCTACCTTGTATATTTATGAAAGAAAATGCATTTGGTGTTTCTGTAACAGAGGTTCACCGCAATCATTCTCATAAAAATTAATACAAAAATGATAACTGAATTGTTTTGATCAATATTTCCATCTGTTGTCACTTTGTTGACAACTGCAAGGTCAAATCCTGATGAATAAATAAAGAAAAGAATAAATGTTGATGCACAATCAAAATAGGCATTTTATTAAATATGTGTCAGTTTAAACATTTGATGTTTTTTTATTTCAGGAAATATATTTATGGGAAATATATACTTTTTAAAACTGACTTTCTGCAATAGCTTAGTAGTGGTAGAGAAAGGAAACAGGCACTGATGTAACATTTCTTTGTTTTGGTGACTTTCTAATGTGCTCTACACATTAGATTAATGCAACAGGTGAGTTATAGTTTATTAGATAAACCTAACTTAACTAAACACTGTTTAACACAAGAGTTCTGCTTCTCCTGGATCATTTTGAAGGCTCAAGTTTGAAATGCTGTGAGTTACTGATTGCTGATTTTTTTTAAAAAAAAAATATTTGACCAATTTGACTTTATAATGGTGAATAGTGAGGTCCATCACCTCATTTGATGTAGTATGTTGATAATTTTGGACCAAAGCTGAGCGTAATTATGAAGTAAAAGTGTCTAAATGATCATTAATGAATTAAAAGAGCCTCTTGTTAACTGAATTTAATATAACTACAACAACTGTTTGTGGTTCCAATGGTTCCCGGCCTCTTTGTGGTTCCCATTTGCCTATAGGATTCCCCAGCTACTTGTAGCTGTCCTCAGTGTCTGTAATGTTGCCTTCTGGTTCGATCCCCTCAGTTCTGACTACTTTCCCTCTCTTTGTTACCAGCCGACACTTCTTCAGTCCGAATCACATTCCTATGTCCTTGCTGTATATCCTGCTGTGGATCAGTGAATCAATGTCCCATTCACTCTTGGCATACAGCTTGATGCCATCTATAGAATGACATCTGTAGATCTATAGTTCTAGGCATTCGAGGATCCACGTGTGGGGCATCGAGTCATAGGCCTTCTTGTTGTCCAGACCTTCCCAAAGTGTGGGGCGCAGAGCCATTGCAGGGGGGCGCGGTATGAAAAGGGAAAAAAAACAAACAAGGCTTGGACACTGCTAGCACGGGGCTCCCACACAAACGCAAAGCAGGAGATGAAGCATCACTGAATATGTTTCCAAACCAACTTCATTCTAAGCCAAAGACTGAATATATGGTGAAGCATGTCTTCCCTTTGGCTTCACCTGCACAAGTGCAAAGGTAGGTCTCCCCTGCAGAATTGTTTTTCCCTTTGTCGGGAGCAGCGCTGGGCTAACAAATCACGGACAAACAGTATCCCACATTCTTGATTTTTAGTTCACAAACACTTCTTGACTAACTACTCCTGACATTTTGGAGATGTTAGCTCTTTATACAGTAAAGTTACAGCGGGATACAAATAATATCAGGCTGATCCTGCCACGATTTGTCCCTCGGTTCAAATCACAGACAAACAGTATCCCACAGTTGTTTATGTTTTTAAACCCATTTTGCACAGAGAGGCATTTTTTGAAAAATGTATTGATAGCAATGTTGAATATTATTACACAGCGAAAAAAACAACTACACGTAAAATAATCACACAGTGACGCCTCTGCCTTTCTAAATAGAGGGACGGTAACTGCATGTTTATATGTAAGCCTGTAAATACTGCAGATAGAGACAAAATACTGTTAATCTGACTATCTGCCATTCTGAAATTCCTCTCATGTAAGCAATAACGTGCGCACAGCGTGACGTGAAAAAAAGGAGTTTTAAAAAATCTCAGTTTTCGGTGATTTGAAACGCCGTTTACGTGTGGACGAAACAGCTGCGTTTTCAAAAATACCCGTGTAGGTGTGGACGTAGTGTAAATTAGTTAGTAGTTTATTTTCTGACTACCTGTAATTTATTGCAGATTACTTGTATTTGCTTATTGTTTACTAAATGTTTGAGGTGTGAAATAAACAGCAATGGAGCAAAATATGGGTGTGTGTTGGTTGGAGGATGTGTTTGTGCGTCCGTGTGCGTGCGCACGTGGGGGGGTGGGGTGGTGGGGAGGGACATTTTTCTTGTAAAACAAAGGGGGCCTAGCAAAAAAAGTTTGGGAACTGCTGTTGTAGTCAATCCAGGCGGTGCACAGGTTAGTTAGTGTGCTCTTGCAGTCTTGGGCGACTGCTCTGTCTACTGGCTGGTGTTTCGCTCCTCTGGTATTCCTGCTCTTTCTGCGCCCCGCTCATGTACTGAGCCATACATGAGTTGATCTTAGCCGCAATGATGCCAGACAGTGGCATATTTCAACATTTGCATAGATTGGTGCATTTCCATTACAGGAAATACAATATAGTATCTTAAAAATACTATTAAAAATACGCAATGTATCACAGACCCACCCAACAGCCAATCTAATTTCTCTTTGCTTGTTTCTGCAGGCTGTTAGAATAGAGTGCTGGAAACATTTCTAGACTAATTTTGGCCTGAGCAAGCATTCATTTAGGTTTTCACGCTTCCAAACACTCTTTAAACAATGAGAGTGGGTAACAGAGCTACCCCTTAAAACAACACTAATGAACAACATTCTGAATATAATGAGAAAATAATAACCTACATTATATAAAACACAGAGCATACTGAGAAATTCCCTCTGTGGCGTTAGCAGGATATGTACTGTGGGAATGATTTCTAATGGCTAACCAATGTGATGGGCAAAATTTAATTCAGACACTTTCATGCTTGGTTTCCACGGTAACTAACAGCAACATCTGCAGAGAATGGGATGATAGAAACTGCATCGAAAATGTTACCTTTTTGCTCGTGTTTCTCTTTCCTTCTCTCGGCCTTTTGGTGCTCCGTCCATTCAATCAGCATAGTAACAGTAAGTAATTTCAGGTGCATATCTCAAACCACAACTAGCTCATTTCACACCATAAGTGATAAATTGGGAAGATGGCTAACGTGGCATTAAAAGAATGAAAAATTAACAGAATGGATACCCAATGGACTTTTGTTGTTGTGCCACCCTGAGTATTTTGTATGGAGAAAACAAGCCAACTTTAAAGTCTTCTCTAAAAGACTAACAGTCTCAGGGCCAATTATAGAAGAAGTCATTTGAGGATGAGGCAGTTGCATTAATAGTGACAGAGAAAATTTAATTTAAATCTAAAAGCCTAGTAGGTTGGATATGTGACTTGGTGAGCCTTAATTAATAGTGTTAAACATAAAAAGAGCCAAGGTAAATTGAGTCTCAAATGTATTCTGTCTGTCTGAAATGCTGGCTTTTTAAATTAGTGATGCTGCCTCTGCCTCCATGATGCAGGAGAGATTGGTTTGACTGAAACACGTGTTTAGAATAAAGGCACGGACTCCAGGGGAAAACAAGACAAATGTCAAATGAGTGGGAATGTAAACCGAGTAGCGGTTGCTTTTGAGCTGAAGCTTTCCTAAAGGGGCATACTATTATTCTTGTTGCCTGCAGGGAAATTTGCACTGCCTTACTAATGTTTACTTACATCTTTGTATGAGTGTGTATGTGTGTGTGTGTGTGTGCATTTGCTGTTGCAGCTATACATCAAGTGCAAAACTCTGTGCACGTGTATGCGTTTTTCTGTTCTAGATTTTTGTTTGTGTGTGGACATGCTTGGTTGAGCACAGATGAAACACATGAATCATGTGCTTCATGATTCATGTGTTTATGCTGCACATATAATATGTTGCAGCGCCTTGGAGGGACATTGTCCCCTAATGTGAGCTTAGAGGCATGTTGAGGATCCAAACGCCACCATCTGCACGAAGGCTAAACTCAGCCTGGCTCACATATTGAGGGGCTTTGGCAAAGGCACCTACCACCACTCCATCACTAATCACCATGGACAAGTATCCTACTCCTCTCAGGACAGGGTCACAGAGGGCAAGTGCTAAAGTCTGAGCAGAGCTTCGATTCGGGGAAAAAAAGAATCTGCATGCTGGTTTAAGAAAGGGTTTTAGCTCCTCTGTCGGTTTCCCAGTGTGGATTCAAGGAATTATATAATGTGGCCTCGCTGATTTTTAGCAGTGCCAGTAGCCCTAGAAAACGAGATCTGAATTTCATGAGCTCATAAATACTCCACATTATCATTCATTAGCATTTTCCCACATTTAAGCAGCTAAAAACAATATTTCCATTCCCGCTCCCTTCTTACTGAAAGCCAGACTGGATGTTAGTTATAAAGATTGGAATACAGAAGTACTTGGTTTCTGAACAGTACGAATGTCGGTATTTCTGGGTCGTTCAAGCACGACTTTACTATTCTATTTAAAGCCGCATGAAGAGATTTTTGACCACAAGGGGGCAGTGAAACAATCTAGAATACAACACATTACAGCGCATCTGGTAATATCATTAAGGGCTTTGTCTTTTTGCTTCTCTGAACAGGGTTACTGGTAGACAAGTAGCCAACTACAGTCTCATCAAAAGAATGGAGTTTGATGGCAGTACATGAGATATTAGTGAAATACAAAACGATTATGCTTTGTTAAAAAAACAATGCTTTAAAGTTTAGCACTAGTTTTATATTTTCATTCACTGAAAAGCTACTCTAACTGAATAAGTTGAAGAATAAGCGCACTTAACTGCCAACAATTAGTCATATAATATTTATATATGCTTGATTTAGTTTAAAGATATACCAACACCCAGTGCAGAAATGGCTTATTACAGAGTAATTATGTAATCTAACACTCTGCATCATATCACAACTGGGCAATAATAATTGGTCGAAATTACAGCATTTAAATGACTGAAACTATTATTTAATAAAACACTAACACCGAGCCCATTATCAGTTGATTCTCAGTACTTGCTGTTTTGGCTCCACGTTATCTGTTCTGGAAGTCAGCATGCATTACTGAAGCTTTTGCAATGACCTCTGCTTCCAGGCAGACCAATCAGTTCACATTAAGCTTTTGTCTATGATGCCCAATAGAGCTAATTGTCTTGGTAATGGCACAGCTGTGAAGAAAAAGGTCTCCTATGATGGATCCAGCATCAACTACTGTACACACTAAAACACAGTCAGGGAGTGTAATAGTAATTTAACAGAACATAACAGAATTTTCAATAACACCCGTAAACCACCAGCCTCCCGATATCCCAGTGATGCCAAAGAAAAAAACATCTCCCAGAGAGGATCAAAGTACAAACACTGGCTGTCCTTTTCCTGCCTGTAACATCACATTAGCTTTAAAAGCACCCGGCTGGGAGCATAGCGATCAGTAGAAAAGGTCGGCTGTTCTTCCAGGACAAAAGGGACACCTCCCGCTGTGTCATTGTGGGTCTGACACTTGGGCATGTACCAGGTATGTGTGCCGCGGTTGCCCCGCTGTCACCAGAATGGTTTCATAGTCTTCAATCACTTTTCAGAAGCTGTTGAGTTCTGTGGCCTGGACCACCATTGTTATGAGTTGTACAGAAGTGGGTACTTACAACAGGGGTAATTGAGCAGCACTATGTCGTCCAAGGCAATATAACCCTGCCGCTCCTCAGAAACAGTCGCTTCAAAGATGACCTGTGAAGACAAAGGGTAAATTAAATGACTACACCCTGCTGCATGCTGAATGGCAAATAAATTGGTTAAAATTAATATCTAAACGGCTTGCAAGAACCGAAAATTTACATGTTTTGTTTCACTTACTACAAATTTAAAGGGGAATCTTAATTGTAAAGTTTTATCCTGGCTTTGCACCATAATCAAGAATGTTTCATTTCCGTTGTGTGGTATTTTTCAAAAGCAGCAATTTAATCACAGCTAAATTAGCATTAATTATTAGCAGAACCTTTTCATCTCTTTAAAACACCAACAGGGAAATGTCAGGCTTTAGTGTAAGCCCTTCAGAATAAAGACGCCAGAGCCCTCTAGAGCCTCTTTTTGTATTAAAAGGTCAAACAAGCGGCAAAGATACCCATTTCAGACCTAAACACTTCTGAATGTAAGGCAGCTTTTTGCAGAGATACAATATCTATGCCTAAACGTATTATGTAGGGTCAACCTTACAGTGTGAGGCGACTGTTGTTGTGATTTGGCGCAGTATAAATAAAATTTAATTAAATTGAATGAAATGTATGCATATATGCCTACTGTACAATGCAGAGCACTGCCACTGGTAGCCACTTGATTTTTTTAAACATAAACATGCATGTTGTCACTTATAATGTATGCTACTATCTTTATAGAACATGTTGCATGGTGTCATCATATAGTAGCTTGTCCAGCAGAGTGGTTCTGGCACCCGGTGGTGGTGAAGTCATGGGAATATAATGGTTTACAATAAACACACAAATGCCCATTTTATTAATCTGCTGTCTTGGACAGAGCTTTGGAACATGCTCCTGCTGTTGGAAACTGCCAAAGCACGTGCCTCCAGATAAAAAACAACAAAACAAAAAAGGTACATGATGTTGAAAATCCTGAAAAGCAACAAGTGGATCTCTGAGTTAGGATTTCTCTGTCACAAATAAAAGGTAGCCAGCACTACAGAACAGGTGGAGGGGGGGACTTAGCCACTAATAGCTGCCATTCTGAATAATAGTAATGCCAGAAGTAGGAACTGCTCAAGTACATGTACCTACAAACATTCCACCATAAATGCAAAGTTAACGCAATCTTGCTGCCTTAAAATGACAGAGGTCAAAACACTTTTGTTCAATGCATCACCATGTCTCCTTTGTTGACATATACTGGTGAGCAGTAATTAAGTTAAGTAATCTTAACTTGATTACTGTTAAGACGACAGAGCAATTTGTGATCTACTAAGCCCAAACGTTCAAGGTTCAGGTGCTGTACAATTTGATATTTTATAAATGTAGACAAAACCCCTATGAATCCTTACATGACTAAAGATCTCTTTCCGTTCCCCGTTGGCCCTTTTATTAAATCATCTGCAGGAGTTCTTAAACACAGCCTAAATATTCAGTCAGTCATCTAAATGAGCCAGCCACACGCAGCGACTCGGAGTGAACGTGCAGGCCTCCCAGCATGCAACAAAGTCATTCTAGGTTTCCGAGTAGTAATTACAGTCAACAGATCACAAATCATTCCCGCCGCAAGCAAGTCTTCACTTTGTACTACAGTATGACAAACTCTGAACTTGGGGATTGAGTGCATTAACACCTGGTAAGATGAAAGATGTAGCTGTGCTCTGATTCAGACATTTCACCCACACTTAATACTGCTAGTTGTCTATGCTAAAGTCCGGTGGAAGTCAGACTGTGACCGTGTACTTAGACAGGCAATAGAGTGCAATGTTGACAATACATCAGGCTTTAAGTGCCTGAGGCAAATCAATAGCACAAAAGGCTTTGGCAGATGGATACAGACTAAGGCTTTCTTTCCACTAATTTATTTTTATTTTTCATTCCTATGTCAGGCCATTAAAGACGTCTGACCGATTAACTCTACAATTCATCACGCGTCAACACACCCACCACCATCGATTCACTCAGCTCCATGCTTTGAGCCATCATTAAGCCCCTCCACATCTGCCCTCACTTATAGACGAGTGTGTTTCGCTATGACTGTGTCAGACGCTGAGGAATAATGTTGGCATGCAGTAGCTATGCATACTCACACAAGTCGTTATACAAACGTTACAGTAGAATCCCCTTGCAGTATTTACAAATAATATAATAATACCCACATTTAAGCAGCTAAAAACAATATTAGGACTGACAGAGAAACACTACTGGTGGCCAGAAGCTTGGCGCCACTATCAAAGCTATAAACAAACATGTTAAAAAAAAAAAAAAAAACTAAATCAAAACTGAAGCAGACTGTATGAAAATCAAAATTTGTGCCATTGCCAAATCTATCTATCTATCTATCTATCTATCTAATTTAGACCTGCAATGCATTGCATTGGGTTTTATATACGATTGCAAATATTATGTAAAAGCTACTCTATGTATATAAGCTGTATTAAAAGACAGAAACAATGCATAGAGAGAAAACATATAATACTCATATAAGTAAGCAAAAAGCAAAATCTATTTCAACAAGCAGTATAAAAGATGGATTTGTCCAACTGAAAATCTCAAATTCAAGGTCATTCTCCAGCCTTCTCTCAGCTTCGTTTCTGTCTACTTTGTTATGACAAAAACAGGCCATGGCCGCCACCCCCCCCAAAAAAAACAAACAAAAAAAAACAACAACAAACAAAACAACCAAAAACTAACGCTGCAAACACACCTGTGATGTGTGAATAAAGGTTTGGTGTACTGCGAGCAGCAGGGTGCCATCTCTCAGGAAGGAGCCCTGTGTCATTGTCAGCAACCAAAGGAAATGACATGAGAGGTGCATCCAAATCAGAAAGCAAGCTCAGCTACGAGGCAGTGGAGACAGTTGAGAACAGTGCTGCACAAGGGCAGTTACATTTGAGGTAAAAAATCATGCAAGCATTTTTAATATGCACCTCCTGTGGCATCGTGTTTGGCTCATAAAATTCAATGCTAGAGAATTGATAGCAGACTAACAAATAACACATTGATAGCAGACTAACAAATAACACATTGATAGTAGACTAACAAATAACACATTGATAGTAGACTAACAAAATCCATACAACGTCCCATTAGGCCTTCGCTATGAATACATAAAATGAAGAGTGGACGCTGTAAACTAGATTGCAATAAAAACAAGATTTGCACAGTAATTAATATTTTTAGGTTTAGTTTTTATTGCAGAATTGCAGGAAACATTTTTGTGTGCACACTAATAAAGAAGCTACCATTTGACACAGACACCAACATTCTTCATGAATTTATTTAATTTAACCAGTTATTAGAATTTTTGATGAATGTGTTGAATAAAAAGGAGAAGGATGTCCTGTTTAATTGACTTCTTCAAGTAAACTTAAACTAACACTACTGATCTATATTGGCTTTGTCGCATTAAAACATAAATATATGAGAAGCAAGTGGCCCTGCCACTTTCCTTTAACAGGCTGAGGATGAGTACAGTGCCTCCACTGCAGTGTGATATAAAGGACCAGACAGCATATGCTGAAGGCTTTCTTTCCTTCTGTGTGTGGACTTAAATGTGTTTATGCAGTCACATTGAAGGGACTTGAAGGGACACAAAGAAAGAACCCACGATATAAATCATGAAATTTTAAAGGGAAAACTTAGTTTAATGTTAAAGTAAGGTTACTGTTAGGTTCAGGTAAGTTTATGTTCTTTTGAAATGATGAAAATTGAACTGTGCGTGTGTTACATTTTCCAAATATTTAGTCTTCAAAAATCTAATCATTCAGAACAAACTGATAAAAACTGAAAATGTTCCACACGGTTTGGTGCATAATAATTTGGACAGTAACATTATTGTCACAATGGGAATCACCAACTGCTCTGTCTCACCCTGAGATACCCAGACAGTTTTGAGACCCAGGCAGTCGCTTCTTGTGGCTGATTGTTTGTAGATCATTCTACCTTCAGATTTGTCTTCAGTAAATGGAATGCACATCTAGTTAGGCTCTATCCATCTAGAAGTCCTAGAACTGCTTTTGTGGCATATTCTGGGTCATTATTCACTAGCAGTGCATGCTCCTACTGAAATATAGTTTGGTCTGTTTTTCCTGTTGGCTGAGAAATGAAATGAAAATTACAGTGCTTTAAAAAAGTGTTGTAGGTGCAAAAATGCCAAAAAAATGCTGCAAAAATGGTAAAAACATATTTTAGCCCATTGCTAGGTGGTTACTAGGCGACAAGACTGTGTAGTTATATATCATGTATAGCTCAACTTTTGAGCACATAAATAAGATATGATTATTAAAACAATGGGATCCTTTCATAAAGCATTGTAGGTGCATAAATGCAAAAAAAATGGTCATTTTAACATCATTAACATAAACCTTCAGAGTGAACTGTTGTAAAATGGCACTATATGAATAAAACTTATGTGAGTTGAATAATTTTGTAATTAAATGAATATAATTCTACAGATAACTAGAATAGAAATTCTTAAAATTCTTACTTAACCTCTTATATGTCAGATAGGAATTAATACAGTCAAGTTAACAATGTCTGTTGCTGTTAATGCTAACTGTAGTTGCAGTTGTATCAGTTCTTTGCATTAATACAAGTTTCAGGAGGATGATAATAATATGAAAAAGAAGCAATATGTTGCTCTGTTTCAGTCAGCATTAAACGAATAAAGCTTTGATACACTGGGGAATGTGGAGCTGTTATCAGTGAGATAAAATTGTGCTGGGCTTGATTTGGAGTGAAGCCCTCATGCTTAGGTAAGCTATGTGATGGCAGACCTTGCCACTACCAATAAAACAACTATGAGAGGTAATAGCTTAATGCAAATACATTGAATGACTATTGCAGAAATAAAGAAATGTTGGAAAGACAATTCTTGTCTGGTCTGTTTTCTTTTCTTTTTTAAAAAAAAATCCAATTTACGTAAGCTCTTCTATAAACTGGCTTTAGAACATCAAGACATTTTTCCAGGAGTCCAACATTTACAAATTTTGTTTTAAAAGTGTCTAAAACAAAACAACAAAAATTGAG